ACAAATCTTGAAATCAAAGAATCCAACTAATGAACTAAACAAGTCCTAGATGAAACTTTTGTGCAACATTTAACGAGATTTTAGAAGTTTGACAAAATTCCAAACATGCTAGAGGAATCACTCACATCAAGCCACGGAACTATGTGGTTGTCTCGATGAGGAAATTCATCCAGAGCATCATCGAGGTACAATGCAGCAACTTTAATCAAACAATTACTAGACAATGCCTACCCTCAATATTACAACATTTCGTTGTTGATTTAACAGACATAATATCCATTATGCCCGCATAATAATCATGTCAAATGAGACAGCGCTTTGTAAGTCATAACTCAAAGCTCCTACCGTGACACTTCCACCATATATCATATTTCATTTCATACAAGTTTTGCATTTCTGAAGGTCATAGAGACCAATGACTACCTTGGTTTTTGCTTGCCAACAGCGGTAAGATGAAACACCTAGCTGAATACGTTCATTGCCTAACCTAGCAATTACAGCTACAATGTAAAATATTACCTTGTCTTTCCCCCTAAAACTTGGGAAACTAAATAATGTGAATAAGTAGAGATAATTTTATTACTTCCCAAATGTTCCTCTGCTTATCATGCTTCCTTCTTTTTGACTCGGTATGGATATTTCTGGTATATTGAAATGCTACTGATGACAAGAGGGAGAGCCACAAGACAATAAGATGATGGTGGCTTTCCTTCAAAAAGGAACTGCAGCAATGCCGTTACAAGAAGTGCTGAAACAATGACAAACCCCTGCGTACAATTAAAAAAAAAAAATTGCCAACTAAGTACCATCAATGATTGCTTATAAAAGAATTATAAAAACATCAAATTAATGCCATAAAGGGACGAGTAAATATCTAGCTTCAGCCATAAATATGATCTTTTTGCAAGTTATGACATGCCTTGAATGATTACATTATTACATCCAAAGTCTGTTTTTAATCTATTCTCCAACACCCCTAAATAGCAACCATTGTTAACCCTTTAGCAAGAAATCAGCAATAAAGTATCAGTTTTTATGGGCAGATATTGGCACCCACTGATATGGCAAATTATACAGGCCACTGGCAACAGGCTTATCTTACCAACTCTTTTGTAGTGATAAGTCAGGTCAGAGGCTTTCATTTTATGTTTTATTTTACCAGATAATTTATGACTTATGGAATTCTAGCCCTACTTTTTGAGCACCAGCAATTTTATTGCCACTATTCTTATCAAAAGTTACAAATAATTATTTACTTTTAAAAAGTCACTAACCTTTCTCACACCACCAGCCTGGCTGGTTACTAGACCAACAAGAATCCCTCCAAGTGCATTGAATATGACTGGAATCTGGAACAAAACAAAAAAGGTTGTGTCAATTAAGGTACAGATATCATCTAGTAAGCAGCTTCAACATTAACTAGGTAACAAAAGATAACTTAGAGACCAGCCACAGCTAAAGCCCAGCGTCCTCATTCTCCTCTACAGAAGCTTCAAATAAACTGGGATCATTACCGACGTTAATGGAGTCCAGCCATAGAAAAACCCATGCCTTCTTATGGCTTCTCCATCAGGAGACTTAAAGGTGCTAGCCAACAAGCACAAGCTACCAACAATAGACATTTCTATGGTCATCACGTATGATGAGTGTTTCTTCACCTGTAATGAAAGGCACATTAAGAAATGGAAGAAACTGACAATACTTTTCAACTCACTGCATGAGAGTGAAATTAGGATGTTTCTCACCTGAGAAGCCCATTGGCACAATGCGGAGGCCAGACCAGAGAGAACAGAAGCAACCAAGACTGGGACTATCCCATAAAATAAAATTTGTTCGGGGTTGCCAGTGCCAGAACCTTTTGCAGTGCCTTCACCAATACTTATAAGAACGGCTGCCATGATCAACAAGAACAGAGCCCCAATCTGTTGAATTGACTGCCTCTGCCTACATATTCACAATGGAAATTAGGCAGCCAAATATCTTGCTGATATTATTTCATCAAGAAAGAACATATTTTATGATGTTTCAATAAATCATAAATGAAAAATATTTTTTTCCTGACTGCTTTTCTTTCAAACACACCACGTCCTTCACCCAGAAAGGAAAAGAAGCATAATTAATGAGAGATTTCAGAATTACTTTAACCTGAAAGACAACAGAGATTCTTCTTAAATAATATTATATGCAGTGATAAACTCTTTTTCGTTTGGCAGGTAAAGTTCAGATTGTTAAGCCAATAGATAAGTTTGAGTAAGGACACAGATGCAAACATTAAACACAGTCCCCGCCTTCCAGCTTAAAAAGAAGGGGGTTAATCAGCATACAGGGTTAAGTCCTGTAACTTTGCAAATCCATCTATCATTTCAACAGTTCAAAGATGAGTGAGAGTCAAAGGAACCATTTGGGAGATACCTTAATAGAATAAATGTAAACAAGGCGGTGAAAAATATCTTTGTCTGGTTCAGTATTGAGAATGTGAGTGAATCAAGGTTCCGGTAAGATATCTGCAGCAAACTGTTTTGGAGTGCATAAATTACTGCAGGAAGACCAGATGCAGTGAGCGAACCCAACAAAGTCCATTCCTTTGATAGTTTCTTTAAGCTGCCTTCTTTTGCCATGAGAATCAAGGCACATATGACCTAAGCAGCATAGCCAAAAATACATGATCTTGGAGTTTAAGAAGATAAACGCCAATTCCTGAGGAAACAAAAATATACAGACATGGTGTAGGAATTACCTTGGCTATCTCACATGTCAAGACTGATGAAGTCACAATAACTTGCCGGCTGCATCAAAAACTTATCATGAGCTAATGACTTGTAGCTCATATAATCATACAAACAACAGTAAACATTACCATTCTGCACCTATACAAAGCCAGCCTAAGAAATTCATTTTACCCAATTTCATTAAATCAGTTATGGATGTGATATGCCTAACATGGCAAAATAGGCAATCCTCATTGATACAGTCATATAGGAGTAGCAAGAGGCCAAGAGGGTACTACAAAATCAACAGTAGAAATGCAAACATTGGAGTTTCAGTCGGATTCAAAATTAATCTTATTAGTAACAAACACAACAAAGTTACCCGTGTGCATCTGATTAGGTTCCCAACTTAGCATTATGTTTGTGTTAATTAAGCAAAACTAATACAAAGTTTAACTAACAATTAACATCATGAAACGTGACAAACTACAACCACCATTTCGTAATTCTCAGCCAAGAATCATATACAAACATCTTATCCTTCTGATTTTAGATAGGAAAGTGGGAAGTAAAGTACCTGGTGAAGCGTTTGGAGATGAGCGGCTGAGCTCCGTACTGAAGAGTGAGCAGAATGGAGTGAAACAAAATGCGTGAGTTCATTTTTCTCATGGAGCGCGGCAGAACCTTTGGATTTAGTCGCCACTTTTAGTGATTCGGTGGCTATCCTGATGATGAATTTCTTGATCTCTTATGAGTTTCTTCGATCTTCGCCGCCTCTCCGGCAACCTGCGGCGGCGGCGGCGGCGGAGGATTGATTTCGCGGATCGGAGATTATACTTCCTTTAGTATCACAAGGAAACATCCAATGGATTTCTTGTAGTTGTGGCGCAAGAACAAATGCGAGCGAAGGCTCGCCCGCAGTCAAGGAAGGCACGGAGGAAAAAGGAGGTGTAAAACTCAAAAATCCTTGATCGAAACAGGGTCCGAACTCACATGCAATTGTCAATTAAGGTTATAAAGTTTTATTACTCTCAACTAAGATTTGTTGAAATTCTCAAATAAAGTCCGAGGCCAACAAAAACCATTAAATCCGTTAAATATTTTGTTAACTCCATTATGTCTAATTGGTTAAATATCAAAATATTTCCTATACTTTTAATTTTAACTTTTAATAACTCTAAAATTTTCAAAATCTCAAAATGCTTCTTAAATTAATTTTGCTTGTTAATAAAGAATTTTTTTGGGGGCTTATAATTAGCAAATAATTTTAATTTTTTTTTTGTTTCCATTTAGGACCTTATTTGAGAATTATCACAACTTTAATACTTTAATTGAATATAATAAAACTTTAAGACCTTAATTACAAATTTAGTATAAATTTGAGACCTTATTCACTACTTTAGGCAATTTTCTTAATAGATTTCTTCTGTGTTGTTTTTTTTAGTATACTAAAGAGATAGTTCTTGATAATACAATGATTTAAACTTTTAATATTAACTTTAAATCAAAATTTTTTAATTTAATAGTTACTAATTTGATTAAAATCTTATTGGGGTTACTTCATTAATGTTATTTTAGCATTTTAATTGCTAGGAGCCTAGGACATGTTGATTTTTCTTCACTCC